AAAGGAAAGCATGCTACAATTATATACAATTATATATTACTAACAATGCTATGATGATGTCCACCGAAAGTTGCACTATATTTAGGTATTATATTATATTACTAACACTAACAACAATGGGATATTAGAAAACATGGGGCAACAATGGAAACAAATAACAAAGATGACCACACTAGCTTAATTTTGGTAAAAAGCTCCTTCTAAACTTGCCCAAAACAAACAACAATATCGTTTTGTTTCATGAAAACAAAACAGTATTGGGCATAACAATTGGCTACTTTCATTTCATGAACTTGTGAATTTGATAATAACATTCTTTTTCATTAATGATAGCAGAAACAATTGTACAAATTTTGGAAATAGGGAGATCTACAAGTCCAAATCATAGTTTCTACCTCAAACAAAAGGGAAATATATTGACAAAAGTCTATTAAAAAAAAAAAGAACTACTATATTTTGATTATCAAAGCCATGCCCACTGTTGCAAAAAAATTTCAATGAGAATATTTCTCTATAATATATATATACATATATATATATATATATATATTAATGTTTGGGTATTGAACCAGCAAACTAGTCCTCAAAACCTCTCTATGACATTTTTACATACACTTGGTGAGCATAAATCAAAAAGATTAGTTTGCTCACCAACACAGGAAAACAAACCAACCCTTTTCCACAAACATTGGCACATAAGGCATGAATGAATGACCGATCTCTCTTGGAACCCACCGAAAGTTGCATATATATATATATATATTCTTGATTTCATTAATTAATCCAGCCGAAGGGGGTCATAGGGAGGGAAATAAGGGGTTTTGCAGAGGGGTTTGGGAAGAGGGTTTCACCTGGTGGTAAGGGAGTTGCAGAGAGGGGGAAAAGAATGGGAAGAAGAGACAGATTGAGAAGGATATATCTATTACTTTAAAATAATTCACCACATCAATTTTTTTATAATTATTTTGGCAAAACTATATTTTTAAACTACTAAAATACAACAAAGGTTAAAATTAAATTATTTAGGTCCTTCATTTTTTAAACAAAAATTTGGGTCTTCTGTGCATACAAAGTAACATACTAATTGACCAAATCACCTTTCCATTGTAATTTGTGCAACAAACTACAACATTTTTGAGACTCTAACAACAGTAATATCAATACCATCTTTTATTTCCAGCAAAGCAATTACCTATTAATTTTTGTTCAAGTAAACATGAAAATCCGAAAAGGACATCATAAGAAAATAAGAAGCCTTTATGGGTAAAAATAACCAAAATTACTTACTACTATATCAGGCCGCTGATTGAGTCCCAGCCACCGTCTTCCATAGATTGATCCAGTCCACCATGGCATCAGTAGCACGAGCAAATATCGGATCCAACGGCCCTAATCGCTCCTTCACCACCGTAGCCATTGAGCTTCCATGGGTGATGGATCTCAGGCAATGGTGACCAACAAGGATGTGAAATAGAGAAACGGGGATAGAGAGAGAGACCAAGGTCGACAAACTCAGAGAGAGAGAGAGACAGACAGATAGACAGACTGAAAGTAAGAGAGAACCTAGGAGGATGCGGCAGTGGTCGTCGTGATTTGCGGCAGCGGCGGCAGCGGTAGCGGTGACGAGCGGCGGTGGTCTGCGCTGAGGTGAGGTAGGGTGAGGTTTGGTGCTGACAGAATCTGTGTCTGAGAAAGAGCACCAGATGTGTAAAATTAAACAGGCGCCGACATTTATTCATTTCCTTCTATTTCATTCAATCTTTAGCGACAAAACTACTAATTTGTTGGCAAATAGTGGAAAATGTTATTAACGACGACCAAATCATTAGTCGCCAAAAGTGAATATTGGCCAACTAAGTTCCTGGTAGCCAAAGACTAATAGTAAATATGTCTGTTTTGGGTGAGAAACAAAATACATGTATAATTAATAACAAAACGGAACTAAATATTTTAGTCGCTAATTACTTTTTAATCCCTCCAAATATTTTAGTTTTCTGGCGACTAAAATATTCTTTTGTCGTTAAAAATATACTTTGGTCGCCAAAGATAAAAAAAAATAATATTTTTCTTTTCATTCGGCTACTAAACAATTTTAGTAGCTAAAACTAACTAGACAGCTACTAAAATATTCTTTTGTCACTGAAAATATATTTTTGGCTACCAAACTTTTGGTCGCCAAATATAAAAAATAATTTTTTTTCATTCGACTATTAAACAATTTTAGTAACCAAAACTAGTTATACGACTACTAAATTTTTTTTTAGTCGCCAGTTGTGATATTTTTAACGACTAAATTTTTTTTTAGTTGCCAATAATCACTATTCCCCGACTAAAAAAAATTAGTAGCTAAATATTTGACTTTTGCCAACTAATATTATTTTTGGTTGCCAATTCCACAACTTTTGGCGACTAAATTTTTTTTAGTCACTAAAAGTGCATTTTGTTGTAGTGACGGTGAGCTCGTAGGTGTGTTGGTAACTGGCGATGATTGTTGTGAGGCCTCGCTCTCAAATGGTACTTGAGAGTTACCTGGTACTTCAGAGTTAACATCTGACATTTTTAACCTTTATATAAATAATATGGATTGAATTAATGTTAACAAATGCAGCAATATCATATAATAAACAAAAGCAACGATATCATCCTAGTAATGTTAACGACTAAACAAATAAAAATTGGATTGAATTAATCATATAATAAACAATTCAGCATTACAATGTCTACACTAATTAGAGGCTTTTTCAATGAACAATTAGACTTAGAATGTCCAAAAGAAGTTTATTAATCAGTGAAGCCAATCTTGATTAAATTAAATCTTGTGAAATTAGAGGTTTAATTATTCATTATTCACTAATCTTTCATAACAACTCTCCACATCAAATTAAGGTTGTCTTCAACAAGCAATAACAGATCATACATATCAACGACAGATCAATAATTTAAAAAAAAAAAAAAAAACATGATTTGTATGAAAACAAAATGTAGACAAGAGTGTCTCGCAATCTTAAAAAACAAAAAATAAATCAAAATTTTAACAAGAAGCTCATATTTAAAATAAATAAATTTAGAGAAAAAAAAACAGAGGTTGAAAACAAAACTCGGATATATATATATATACATATATGTATGTATGTATGTAAACCCTAGATCGAAATCCCTACATCGACTCTTTGAAAGAAGAAAACAGAGATCGATTAACGAGAGAGAGAGAAAGTACCTTTTGAAAATCGGCGGTGAGGGAGCATAGCAGCCGCTAGATCGACGCTTTGAAAGAACGAAACAAAGGTTGATTAGTTTAACGAGAGAGAGAGAGAGAGACCCTTTGAAAATCGGCGGTGAGGGAGCAGCATCCTTCGTGTGTGTGTGTGTGTGTGTGTGTGTGTGTGAGAGAGAGGAGAGAGAGTGTGAAAAGGGCAAAACCCTAATCACTTAAATAGCGATTCCTAATTGTGCTCCTGCTCACTGTGAGCTGACTCCCACTGTGGTTATGTTTGTACGTGGTCGTTGTTGTTGTTGTTGTTGTTGTGTGTGTGTGTGTGTGTGTATGTGTGTGTGTGTGTGAGTGAGAGAAAGGGAGACGAAACCTACACAGTGACAGTGTGAGAGAAAGAGAGCAGCAGCTGTTGTTGTGTTTGTGTGTGTCAACCAAACCTAAACACACACATATATATAAACAGGGGCATAATAGTAATCTTACAATGGAGGATAAACGAGGCGGAGTCGTGAGCCGGGTTTGGGGGGCTGAGAAATGTATCACCATCCCCGACCCAAATATCATTGGAGATTCATTTTTGAATACCATCACCGGCCCGTCGGGGATATTTTTAGGAAAAACCTGCTCAATTCGGGGTCGGGTCCCCGTCGGGTCGGGTTCATATTTCTATCCATACTAATACTTTCCCTTACAAGCGCTAGTATAGTTCTCCTCCTGACTGCACCACTCTTAAAGTTTTTGGTTCTATTTGTTTTGTTCTACTTCAGTCTCAGGAACACACTAAACTAGAACCTCACTCTTGTCTTTGCTATTTTATAGGATACGGTATATAACATAAAGGGTATCATTGTTGAGATCCTATCTCCAATAAACTTTGTATTTCTTGTCACGTGGTTTTCTGGGAACACAAAATGTTCTCAAATCTTTCCAAGTTTCACCTACCACAGTCCACCCACTCACTAATCTTTACTGATCTCTCTATAAACCTATTTTCTGATGACTTTGATGCAGATTCTGAATCTATGATTCCACAGTTGCCTATACCTATTGTCTATCCTAAGGATCCTGTGTCTGCCGATGGCCCACACCTTCTTCTGTTGAGGTTCCTTCTCTACCAAAGCGTCATTCCACACAGGTAAGGCAACCTTCTGTTCTTCTCCGTGATTATATTGTTAGTTCCACTGCTTTTTCCTCTCATGAACCTACTTTCTATTAAGAAGCTTGTTCTAAGCCTCTTTGGTAACAAGCTATGACTGATAAACCGCAGGCTTTCGATGAAACTCATACCTGAGATGTGGTTGATCTTCCTCCTAGTAGGAGTACTGTTAGTTGCAAATGGGTTTACAAGCTCAAAACTCATTCTGACGATTCCATTAAGCGTTACATAGCTTGTCTTGTTGCCCGAGGATTTACTCAAGATTATGGAATAGACTATGAAGAAACATTTGCTCCTATTGCTCGTCTTACTTCCATTCGTAGCTTACTTGCAGTGGCTGCTGCTTGCCACTGGAGTCTTTATCAGATCAATGTCAAGAATGCATTCTTTAATGGTGATCTCACTGAGGAAGTTTATATGCAACCTCCTCTTGGTTCTTTTGTTCCATCAAACAAAGTCTACAAACTTCATCGTGCTTTGTATGGTTTGAAATAAGCTCCGCATGCCTGGTTTGCCAAGTTCAGCTCTACTATTCGTGACTTTGGCTTTTCCTTCAATGCCTATGATTCTGCCTTGTTTATACGTAAGACGGAGCGTGGTACTATTCTTTTTCTCCTCTATATCGATAATATGACTATTACTGGAGATGACCCCGCAGGTATTTCTAGTCTCCAACAGTTTCTCTGTCACCAGTTTGAGATGAAAGATTTGGGTTTTCTTAGCTACTTCCTTAGCTTGGAAATTTCTCAAGATTCATCTGGTTACTTTCTTACCCAGGTCAAGTATACTTTTGATCTCTTGGCTCGTGCTGGCCTTACCGATTACAAGACTGCCACTACTCCCGTTGATCCTTAGACTCGCCTTACACCTCTTGAAGGTTCCCTATTGTCTGATGCCACTTTATATCGTCAACTAGTTGGTAGTCTTGTCTATCTCACGGCTACTTGTCCAGATATTGCTTATACTGTTCACATTGTCAGTCAATTCAAGGCTGCCCCCCGCTTTCCACACTATGATGCTCTGATTCGCATTTTGTGCTATCTCAAAGGCACTCTATTTCATGGTCTTCACTACTCGGGCCAGTCTTCTCTACAGCTCCATGCCTTTACTGATGCCAATTGGGAAGGGAATCCTACTGACCGTCGTTTCACTACTGGGTTCTACTTCTTCTTGGGCAACTCTCTCATTGCCTGGCATAGCAATAAGCAAACTCTTGTTGCTCGTTCTAGTACCGAGACTGAGTATCGTGCTCTTGCTGACATTACTTAGGAGCATGTGTGGCTTTGTTGGCTTCTTTCTGATATGGGAGTTTCTTATTTTGCTGCCACCAATCTTTATTGTAACAACCAAAGTGCTATTCAAATTGTACATAACGATGTCTTCCATGATCTCACCAAGCATCTTGAAATAGATTGCTACTTCATACGCCAGTATGTTACTAAGGGCACTGTTCATTTTCTCTTTGTTACCTCTGTTGATTAGACCGCCGACCTCTTCACCAAAGCTCATCGTCCAGGACACTTCTCTGATCTTCTCGCCAAGCTCAAGTTGATATCTGCCTTATCACCTTGAGCTTGAGGGAAGGTGTTAACTGTTATCTATTCCTATTAAGATTCTTGTATTCTTGTACACCTAAGTTTTTTGGCCTATATATACAGGCTTCTCATATTGTATTGATTGATTGAATATATACAATACATATTTTTTTTTTCTCTCTGTCTATCATTCTAACAAAAAGGATATCGTTTTAAAAACTATTACTTCTACATCATTCTTAATAAGTTTTTCGTATAAAGGTTATGTTCCTAAATCATTTTCTTTCTATAACCGGTGTTTGAATAAATTATAGAATTCAAAGGTAGTTAAAAATCAAGATTCAAATTTTGTGTAATGTGCATTACACTTAGGCTTCATTGTTTTGACATAAAATATTTTACACAATAAATTATTTTTCTTGTAAATTAATTTTAGGGTGAATTACACTAACGATTCTTATAATTTGGGCCTTGTATCACTTTGGTCACTGACTTTTCAACTTTGATATCATTATTAAACCAATCCATTAAATCAAAAAATTCAAAACTAAAAACATTTCATATATTAAATATATCAATTACACATTAAAAATCTAACAACCATCCATTACATGATCATCATCCAAACACATAATAAAAATTAATTTGGTAAAATAAATAAATGTCTAAAAGCTTTAACAATTTTAAATAATTTTATGTTTGGTAGATAGAAATTATTTTTAAAAATTCAAAAATATTTTTTGTCATTTATTTTTGTCAAATTAGTTTATATTTTATCAAATTGACGACTTTGCCCTTGAAATTGAGCAATGGTATCTTCAATTGTCCTTATTTGTAATAAGATTCCAAATTTAGGATCAAATGTGTCACAATTGAAAAGTTAAGGACCAAAATGACATGAGCATCAAACTATAAAGACTGTCAATTTTAAATAATTTTATGTTTGGTAGATAGAAATTATTTTTAAAAATTCAAAAATATTTTTTGTCATTTATTTTTGTCAAATTAGTTTATATTTTATCAAATTGACGACTTTGCCCTTGAAATTGAGCAATGATATCTTCAATTGTCCTTATTTGAAATAAGATTCCAAATTTAGGATCAAATGTGTCACAATTGAAAAGTTAAGGATCAAAATGACACGAGCATCAAACTATAAAGACTGTTAGTGTAATTTGCCCTTAATTTTACATAGAAAAATATTTTTGTTTTTGTTTTTCAGAGTTTAATTGACACTTGAAATAAAAACATTTCATTGTCTAAAAAATAAATTTTGATTTAATAAAGTGTCATTTATGACTTTTTAGTGAGTTAAGATATTTATTTGAAAAAGCTAAATGTGTTAAAAAGGTAATGATTGAGAATCAATTTTGTAAAAATTGATTTACGAAAATTTTAAAAGTAAATCATTTTTGAAAAAAATAACGCAAAAATATTTTTCTTGAGAAATGTTTACTTACATTTTGTTTAACCAAACAATAAAAAATGAGTAAAATATTTTTGATACAAATATTTTACGTCAAAACAAACGGAGCCGTAAAGTAAATCTACGTTCATGAATCGCCAGTGCACTCAACATTGCTGAATTCTAAATTTGCCAATGTTCATATATGGTGTAAAAGATAAATAATGGAAAAAATATAAAAAATATGATAATTTAACTTAAGGCACAGTTTGTTTAGGATCAAATAGGTAGAAACTGCAGAAAAGAAAAAGAAAAAAAAAAAAAAACTTTTATGAGTTTGTTTAGCTTGAAAGTGGTGAAAAGTAGAAGAACACTAAATTTCTTGTACAATTCATGTTAGCATTGTAACTATTTTTTAATTTTTTTTATAAAAAAACACAAAAAAAAAAAAATACAAGAATAATTGAATGTGTGAGTTAGCTATAACTAAATTTTAAAAATTTTATATCTTTTTCTATAAAATTTTCATGTTAATCAAATATTTGTAAGAAAATATATTTTCTAATCTATTTGTTTTCTTCCTCTCAATTTTCTTTAACTTTCACTTTTTACTACATTTTCTTTCTAGGAAAACGGTTATGGGAAAATCATGATTTAACAATTGGACATGGACTGTTTCAAAAAGTGATCACTAGCCCAAAATATATCAAATTATCCTTTCTTACAATCTGAAGTTTGGCATGCAAAATTTGAAGCCTATCCTTCAAGGAGGAACACTGGAATGACAAAATTTTGCAATTGGACATGGACTGTTTTAAAAAGTGAAGGGTAAATTATACTTAGTAATCTTTATATATATATATATATATATATATTTCTTTTGTGTCATTTTGATTCTTATATTTTCAATTGACTCAATTTTAACCTTTAATTTTAGATTTTATGCCTATTTAGTCCAATTTTTAAGGTTTTTAACAGAAAATAATCACTGAATTCATAGAGGTTAAGTTATTAAGTTGAGCAAGTTTATAATTTTGTTCATAAACACATGACATATGCCGCTTATATATATATTTCTTATATAAAAAAATTGCTGATATTTATAATCAATTGGATCAAATTGAATCAAAATCATAAATTCAATATCAAAATTGATCCAATTAAAATTATAAAGACCAAAATGACATAACAATCAAAATATAGAAACTATCGGTGTATTTTGCCCAAATATGAATTTCAATCTGTTTAGACCATCTCCAACATTGCATCAGATTGAGCATCATATTTGAATTTGATGAAAAAAGCTACTTTTTCTTTCTCCAATGGTTTCACCAAACCGATATCAAATTGAGGACAGAGCAAAAATTTCACCAAATTGAGGACCTACGTGAGATTTCAGCATTTCACTGTGCGTATACGTTGGAGGTGGGTTCACCGGTCGACCAGTGCATACATAGCTGCTTCAATCTGCTTCAAGTTTTGGTTGGCCTGCGAACTGGTTCAAATAGGTAAGTTACCTTTGTGGCACTACAAATAAATTGAAGGTTGATATAAATTTAAATTTCCATCAAAATGCAACATGGAAAAGTTACATTGTATATACATATAAATTTTGAGTTGAGAAGTAGCCGTTCTGCACCAGCAATTCCAATAACTTACCGTTGGTGTGACAGAGTATTTTAAAAACTTACCATTGCTATTGTGCTCTATAAAATATACCAATCTTTTAATTTCGTTATATCATTACAAATTTTATTTTCTTTGTGAGCTTCAATTTGATAATGTCATTACAATTTCTATTTTGTTTGTGAGCTTTAGTGTGTATTATCTGTTTGTCAGGTTCAATTTCTTTGTGAGCTGCAGTTTGATAATAGTATTACAATTTTCATAGAGTGAATATTATCTATTTCTCATGTTCAATTTCTTTATGAGTTTCAGTTTGATAATATCAGTATAATTTCTATTTTCTTTGTGAGCTTCAGTGTGTATTATCTGATTTTGAGGTTCAGTGTATATCATTATAATATATTTCACTGTCTGAGTTATATAATGTATCCTACTGAATTTGCTTCAAACTATGGAAGATTTTGAAATGTTTGAGGAATCACAAACTTCAGATTACAACACTGATATTAATTTTATTTCGGAAACTTCTCGTGTTTCTCGTGGTAAAGCGTTCACAACTATAGAAGATGAAACTTTATGTAGATCTTGGTTGGTAGTCTCTCAAGATCCCATTACTGGTTATAGTTAGACTATGGCAATATTTTGGGAACGAGTACTCGTTTATTTTAATTCACAATTGAGCGGTGAATCAAATCGAAACCGTATTTCTTTGTCTCATCGTTGGTCTGTCATCCAAAAAGCAATTAATAAATTCTGTGATTTTCTTGAGCAAATTCAATTGAGGGAACAAAGTGGAACAACTAATGCAGACATGGCAAAATTTATTTCTATTATTAAATATCAATTTTCTTTTGTAATGCATACTTGTTATCGAAATTTTTGTAATTTTTTTTTTTGTAGGTTGCTGAAGCGAAGTGGACGTATCATGCAGTACAGAAAAAATACTTCGCATTTGATACATGTTGGAATATTTTGCGCCGAAGTTGCAAGTGGGATGAATTTAGAACACAACCTAAAAAAACCACGCAACATGCTTATCCATGTTCGAATCCTCCAATTGAAGATGAGGCTTTTCAACCCAACAAGAATATTGTGGTGGACCAACAACCGACTAATACATCAACACGACTAATTGGTACTAAGGCAGTGAAAGAGAAGTTAAAGAATCAAACAACTCACGATGGTAGATTTGATGAAATAGCTACAAATCAATCCAAAATTGTTGAAGTATTATCAACTATCTCCACTAAAACTGTTGAGCGAGATGAACAAAAAGCGATAGACCGTGAACAGAACGCTATAGAGCGTCGAAGAAGGGCCGAGGATAGGGAGGATTAACTAAAACTCTTATCTATGATGAATAAAAGAGAACAACGAAATGAAGATCATAAAATAATGTTGTAGACGTGCCCGAACGTCCCGGGCCCCGCGCGCAAATTGGCGCGACATCCCGTTTTGTTCGTTGGACTACTACAGTTCGGACTCAATGTCACGGTTCTGAATCTAATCTTGTAAAGTGCAATGCAAGACCGATAAATCACCAAAGAGTTCAAATCCGGCAAATCGTTTTGGAAAATTGATTTTTATAAAGAAGTGTCAAACATGGACTGATTTGCCAGATACAGAGTTGCCACCTAAATATTTTGTTTTGGGAGAATTTCGAAAACCCTGACTCGTGCCTAAGGCCACGTGTCTGTCATCAC